CAACATACTCCTGGATGAAACCCCTAAAATGAAGGTCCTCTAAAATAAGCCCAATTAGAAAGAATTTTCTGTGGTCACCTATTAAAAAATGAACTGCGTCCAGTAGCAACGGTCTAGGTTTCTATCTTCTGAGGTTTCGGTTAAGGTGCCTTTTCATAGAAGGGCAGTTTTAGAGATTCAAGTTCAGTATGGGCACGCAGGCCAGGGCTCAGTGTCACAGGCCACGTCCTGTCTTTCTACACCTTTGATTGCTTTCATCTGCCAGTGCCAAGTGCTGACAGTTACTACCATAACACTGGCTCTCAATGTTTCCTCCTTGGATAATGGGTGAGGGAGGCAGAGCTCCAATGGACAGAAAGAAGGAAAACACAACTCTAGCAAAGAATTCTGAACCCAAAAGTTTACCTTCTGAAGCGTACTAGCTCAAGGTAAGAAGACGCTTTTCAACTCTCCAGCTTTATGAGAGCATGAAAACTCTAGGTTAAAGAGTCATAACATTTCGTGAAGAAATTATTTTTCACTTGAGAGCTGTCCAAAGATAGGCTAGGCTTTCTGGAAAAAGAAAAGATTCCTTGTCACCAGAATTCAAGCAGAGGGCAGCCATATGCAAAGTGTAGTATGAGCCGGACACTCAAACATCTGAGGACAGGGTAGCAGATGGTGTTTCAAATCTCGTCCAGACTTCAGGTTTGGTATTTGTATGATATGTATGGGAAGAAGCATTATACTGATAAATAATTAAGGAGAAATAATCTTAAGCAGTAATAATTACTGGGGAGATTAGGTCAACCGCAGAGGTTGCAAAGACCCCCTTTTCACACATTACTCGGTATCTGGGCTACAGGAAGTCCACTTGGGAAATACTTGTCCTAACGCCAGTTTTCTTCATCTTCTGCTTAGTTGTGCTTATGAGCATGTGCACCAGTTCAGAGTTAAGACTCGTGTGGCCTTCGAAAAGGAAGGTGTTCATCTGATCCGCAAAACTTGAATGACCTGGCCGCATTTCCCAGATTCACCTGAAGCCTGTGTCCCCTTGCAAAAACCTTTTTTCTGACCTCACGGTTTTTTCCAGCCCCTTCAGCTCACAGCCCTGGGGTCTGAGGAGCCCAGCACTGGAGAGCCAGCTAGGGCTCCACACCACTTCAAGGCCTGAGAGTCTAGACATGTTTGATTTTTACATTGCTGGCCTGTGTTTTTTGTTTGTTTGTTTTGTTGTTTGGGTTTAATAGGCTTTTTTTTTTAAGAGCAGTTTTAGACTTGCAGAAAATTTGAGAACCTATAGAGAATTCCCATTTACCTCCTTCCTCCTCCCCACCCTTGTTCTCCTATTATTTTTTTTTTAATTTTTATAGTTTTTTTTATTTTTGAGTCGGAGAGAGACAGAGCATGAGTGGGGGAGGGGCAGAGAGACGGGGAGACACAGAATCTGAAACAGGCTCCAGGCTCTGAGCTGTCAGCACAAACGCTGACATGGGGCTTGAACCCATGAACTGTGAGATCGTGACCTGAGCCGAAGTCAGACACTTAACCAACTGAGCCACCCAGGAGCCCCCCCGTTCCCCTATTATTAACATCGTGTATTCGTTTGGTGCATCTGTTACAATTAATGAGCCAATACTGATACATTATTATTAAGCAAGGTGGGTAGTTTACATTAGGCTTCACGCTTTTGTACATTCTATGGGTTTTGACAAATATAGCGACTGACCATTAGAATATAGTACATAATACCAAGCATCACAATTTCTGGGTCATGTGGTAAGAATATGTTTAGTTTTGTAAGAAACCAACAAACTATCTCCCAAAGTGGTGTTTGCTTGCACTCCCACCAGCAATGAATGAGAGTTCCCGTTGTTCCACATCCTTGCCAGCATTTGGTGTTATCACTGCTTTGGATTTTAGCTGTTCTAAGAGGTGTGCAGTGAGATCACATTGTCATTTTTAATTTGCAGTTTCCTGATGACATATGATGCTGAGCATATTCTCAGAGACTTAATTGCCATTGTTGTTTGTCTTTTTACAATCACTGTCCATGTTAGTGCCCCTTCTAATCAGGTCCAGGTCTCACCTTTGGGAAGCTAGCACCTGAAGCTGAGAGAGGACATTGGTGCGAGAGGGAGGGGACAAGGAGAAATGCGTGGGTACCTAACACGGGTGGGACAACTTGCGGAGATACTGCTATCCCCTTCTTATAAATCAGTAATCTGGGGGTGCCTGGGTGGCTCAATCAGTTAAGTGTCTGACTCTTGTGTTTGGATCAGGTCATGAGTTCCAGCCCCACATTGGGCTCTGTGCTGACAACGTGGAGTCTGCTTGGGATTCCCTCTCTCTCTCTCTCTCTCTCTCTCTCTGCCCTTCCCCCTTGCTCTCTCTGTCTCTGTCTCTCTCTCAAAATAAATAAACTTAAAAAAATAATAAGTAAGTAATCTTAAGTTCAAATCGAGTAATTTACCCAAATTACGGGGTGTCAAAGAACTAAAGCTGGCCTTCAGGCTCACGCTTGTCTTATTCTAGGTCCATCTACCTTGTAAGTTGTGAGGCCCCAGCACAGCTGTCTTTGCCTGCCCTCACACCCTCTTCAGGGGTGCCGGAGGTGCCCCTGAGAAGGTGGCAGGTGCAGACAGATGGTATGGAACCCAGAATGTGGGGCACTCAGGGTCCGCAGATTCCCATGCTGGAACGGGGAAGGGAAGGCAACCAGCTTGTAGTTTCTCGATCGCATCTCTGAGCAACTAGCCCCTGGAGGCTGGTCCGAAGGGCTCCGTGCTAGGGTGAGGGGGTAAGCTGAAAAATAACATGGCTTTGCCCATGCTTCTCCCTGCAAGAAAGTCAGCACTCTGATAGAGTCTGTGCTGTCTCCCAACCCTCCAGGCACAGGACACTGCCCATCCCCAATCGGCCCTGAAGTCACAAAGGCAAAATATCATTGCCCAAAGAAGAATCAACAAGGGCTGTCTTTGGTCATCTGAACGAACCTCCTCAGCTGGAAAAGGAATGGTCTGGAAAACCCCTGAGGGCTCCTGAAAGAGGAAGACAGCTTGCCGGACTGGTGTAGGAAACAACCACAGCACCCAGGGCTCCCCAGGGAAGAAGGACTCCCCATTCGCTCCCGCGGCTCAAGGAGCCAGGCACTGATGTGTTGTTTTTGCCAACATTGTGTTTCTCTAATTAGAAGATGTCGGAGTTCTTCAATCTGTAGCTCGGATTTGGGGGGATTTCCTGAGGAAGGACAGGTATACCTGTCCAGTGGGAAGACCTCAGGGCCAGGGGAGGAAGAGAGGGACCCTGAGGACCCGAGTCCTAGCGGCCCCACTCAGGCATTCCAGAGGTCTCTGATCACAGTCCTTGGGCCTCTCTGTGCCTCGGCTTCCCCTCCTATAAAAGGCAGAAAACCAGCACTGCCTAAGTCTCTCTCTGGCTCTCCCAAAACTACACAGTGTCACAATGCTTGCACTTCTCGGAGGTGACAAACAATGTCAGTGGAAACTACTTCCTACAGGGGAGCAATTTCTGTTTACATATGTGATGCCCACCCCCTGCGGAAATACTGGCCGCCCTGTGGCCTGGCTGGGTTATCAGGAGAATGTCACAAGGTATGGTTTCCACCCTCTGCCAAGGGAACAGATTTGCTGCCTGCTCTGAGGACAAATCCTTTACCACAGGTAAGCCCTGGCATGGGTTCTTGAAGGAAAAAATTTAAAAAAAGGAGGGGGTGGCTGGCTCTAAATCAGAGCCTGAGAAGCAGGGTTAAGCAATTAAAGCAAAACAACCTGGTTATGAGCTATAGAGGGATGGGTCAATGTGAAGCCTCTATATTCTCCTTAATCTCTGCCCCGGAAGGAAACAAATGAATAGAATCATGTTTTAGTAAAAGTAGAAGCATAGGAAGAATTGGTGACAAAATGTCCCTGGTACACTTAAGCCACAAAATGAACTAGACATCTGGGCATGGAAGAGCGTTGCTGGAGAAAGCCAGGAAAAACCAGGGCGAACAGTGTGTGTCCCTTTCGCACACCCATGCCACCTGCTACGAAGGGGGCCAGGTTTCCCCTTGTGGAGCCCCAAGACGATGACCAGGAGGAAAGGGGTGTAGCTGGGGGGCTCTCTCACGGATGCCTGGAACTCCTCAGCAGCTGTCCCCATAGCAGAGAGAAGCAGCCCCCTGAAAAGGTGGGGGTTGAGGGTCCTTTAGTCCCACCCACCCGCCGCCAGGTACACCTGTCTTTCCTCCTCACCACGTCTCCCAGCGCCACCCCTCACGTGCATCAATGACTGGGGGGAAAAGCCAAACAGACCTTGGAGGAAGACAGATGAAGCTTTAGGAAATCAAGAGCCTGACCAGACAATGTGGGTTCATCAATATGTTTCTCCACTACTCAGGAATGAGCTAGACTAACTTATTTCGGAGCGTGGGGCTCGAAAGGAGCTGGACCTGGGGAAAATGAGCAAGAACCCGGGGCGGGGATGAAATCCACCCAGAGGTGTATGTTTTTTATTAGTGTCTCCAAAGGAAGGAAGCAAATTCATCTGCAGAATCCGCCTCTTAACCTTCAACCTAACAGGTTGTACTTGTTACCTTGACCGTGTGGTCCACCCAGCGCACCTTGGCCCACAGCGCGGCCTGCGTGATACACACAAGGTATTGACTGCTGTGCTAGTAAGGAAGAAAAATGACCCACCTCTGCTCCTCCTGCCTCCACCCAGAGCACATTTTTTATGGCTCGCATGCAGTCAGTTCACATCTACGTCAGAAAGCCTGAGGCAAACTATTCACTGAACACTCTGGGTTCGAAACCTTGGTTCTAAAAATTCCCGGCTCAATTCTGGATCACAACATTTTCCCTGTAATTAAACTTTCTCAGCGTGCCTGGGTGGCTCAGTTGGTTGAGCGTCTGACTTCAGCTCAGCTCACGATCTTGTGGTTTGTGGGTTTGAGCCCCACTTCAGGCCCTGTGCTGACAGCTCGGAGCCTGGAGCCTTCTTTGGATTCTGTGTCTCCCTCTCCTGCGCGCGCTCTCTCTCTCTTTCTTCCTCTGAAAAATAAATAAACATTTAAAAAAATTAATTGAGGGGCACCTGGGTGGCTCGGTCAGTGAAGCATCGACTTTGGCCCAGGTCATGATATTGTGGTTTGTGAGTTCGAGCCCCATCGCAGGCTCTGTGCTGACAGCTCGGAGCCTGGAGCCTGTTTCTGTTCCTGTGTCTCCCTCCCTCTCTGCCCCTGCCCTGCTCTCCCTCTGTCTCTCTCTCTTTCTCAAAAATAAAAATAAACATTAAAAAAATTTTTTTAATTAATTGAACTTTCTCTCCTACAAATTCCCACCCTAAAAGGTGCTATTTCTATCACGTGTCTCAGAGAAAAGGAGTCAGGCCACCGGATGGACAAAAGTGTGTGTTGGGTTCATATCCCCCACAGACTTCACGTGGTCTCCTTTGCCAGGTTAGCGCCCATATCCCAGGACTAAATAAATAATAGAAGTAACAACATTTGGATAAGTCCTAAGCCTAGAATACTGAGTGCATACACACACACACACACACACACACACTTAAACCTCTTTTTCCAGAAAAGAACATGATAATAAAGACAGGTATTTCAAGAAAACTATCCCGGCAACCTTGCAGCCTTAGGTTATAAAATGAATCAGGAATGTAAACTGGAAGTGCGATTGCCTCTGAGAGGTATGTTTTACAACCAAACACTTTGTCTTGTCATCCATTCCTGTCCCCAAGTTAGATAGACACGAGGTGCTCTGGAAAGCACGGAATTCCGGAAGCTTTGGACACGGCTGGCCTGGATTCTAATCCCAGATGTGATCATTATAATTGTGTTCCCTTGGGCAAAAACCTTGAAGACCTTCCGTCTCCACAATTGTGAAACAAGGATAGCAATGTCTACAATTAAGCTATAAGGCTAAATAAATGGTTGCTGTTGGGATGATAATGTTAATTATCACTATCATCATTAATAGCATCACTGTTAGCTATAACACGCTTTCAAATGAGAGAAAAGGAGGGTCGCAACTGAGACCGTAAGGAAATGGCATAGAAAACAGGATCTCTTCTCAGAGCTTGGACTTGCTTCCGTTCATTTTAATCTCTCAGAAATCAACCGCAAGATTGGAGGACGGAACACCTCATAAAGAATGTTAATAAACAGAACTCTAATTTCAAAATTCACACAAATTAAACCAAAAAATGCAAAAAGACATAGAAATACAGAGGATCTCCCTTAGTCAATGCTGCCAAAAATGCTATTATGTATTCACCCAACTGGAGTTCCTTCTAACAAACTGCCACTGAGCATATGGCTACCTTGGGCATTTTTTCATTATCCCAGAGTGTGTCTACAGTCCCATGTCGGTAAACTCCATCTGTATCTCTGTCAATGGAAGAAATTTCCATCAGGAAATATCAGCAGGAATCAGGGGAAAGACCTTTCCAATTTACTGAGATCGAAGGAAGTGACTGCAGGGTTCCCCTCTCCCGCCTCCTCTTTTCCCCAACCCCAGCCAAAAAACGTCTTGTTTTCTTTCCCAAAGATTATCCCATCACCCTCCACAGCCTGCTCAGGGGGAGTCTCTGGACGCTCCCCAGGCACATGGCGCTCCACATGACGGACAAGCTGTATTCTGGGTCACCGAGGCCCTTCCACTCCCACGTGACGGGAAGTAAGGGCAGAGCAGGTGAAAATGGACGCCTCCGCCTCGTGGAAACTGACCCCAAGGGAATGCACGAGAAACGGCTCTGCGTGTTTAGTTGTTGAGGCTGGTGTCGTTTTCACCTCTTCTTTCTGCACAGCACCCATCGGGGAAAAAAATCGGGGCAGGTCTGAACACCAAAGGCAGCGCGATGGCTATGCCTCTGCGGGCAGGCGGGCAGGCATGCTCCGGTGTGGGTTCCGGGACCAGACAGGGGGGCGGAGGCGGTATGAGAGAGGTAACTATGACGACACTTCTTGAGGTCCCTCCTGTGTGCGGCATAGTCTGCCCACTGATATTTCGGCTGCATGTTGTACGGATTGACCCTTCCTCCCACGCTGCTTCCTCTAATAATTTAACTATGGACTTAAACAACCAGCATGTCAGCCGACTACCTTAAAGTCTAGTATTGAATAGACGGTACTTTGAGAAAATAGACTTAGGATGCAGAACTGCCTCCCTCCCGGCTCCCCTCACTCTCTATCCACTGAACACGGGGAGAGTGGGGACTGAGGCGAAATGGATTGTATATTGACATTTCCAGAGATGGTTTCTCTGTATACACGTATGTCAATTTATATGATGTATTTATTTTAAAATTTACATACACATGGATTTATATGAAGGATCTACTTAAGACCCCAATTAACCATGTCAGCATTAGAGCTTTCCATCCACCTGAGAAAAATGCTGTGGAAAAACTCTCACCATTTTAACAACGCCATTAATAACCCAGGCCTCATTTGGGTGGCATTTGCGAAGAGAGTCTCATTGATTGAAGGCCCTCCAACCAATTATCTTTGGACTTCATAGGACCCATAAGTAGGTGAAAACTGATTGCACTTCTCCTGGAGCCAATACTATGGAAAGAAAGATACTTGGAGTTGGCTTTTGCAAGCTTATCTAGTTGAAAAATATGGAGCCCAGAGACAAAGTGACCTAGTCAGTGACAGTGGGGGCGGATGTATCCACATCTGTAAGTTACCAGCAGCAAATAACGTCGCAGGTGTCAGCCCCCACTATGGCAGCCTTTAGCCTATGAACGGGGAGGAGGGTAGGAAGAACCCCAAGCCAAGCCACACCGAAGATGCAGCTCAGCCTGCACAGAGGCATAGACCGAAACCCTGACTCATCACTGTCCTGGCCCAAAGCAGAGCACATTTTTCCTCATTCCCTCAGTCATTTTGGCTGAATAACATGAAATCAGTCACTCTACCTACCCAGATACCCATCTATGTATCTGCACGATCTGCAAGATGAGAGATATAAATGCATTTCATTTTTATTTACTCAAATCCTGCTCCCATTCTGAGGTCCGGCTGTCCTGTTTTGGAAATAACTTCTCCTTCCTCTGAACAACCACAGTACCCTCTGCCTACAGCCTATGATACATGAATCTATCTTTCTATCTTATGTTACATATTCATGTCTTACTTCCATCTGTAGAATATACCATTTCTTGAGGATAAAGATCTGTATTCCTTCTCTCTGTCTCTCTCTCTCTCCACAGCACCTAATTTTGTTTATCTAGAAGGTGCCCAGTAAATGGTGAACAACTGATGGATGAATAAATAATTTAGACTAAATAAATACAAGGCTTCACTTGTAATATAGAAAAACCTGTGTTCCGTTCATGCAGGTAAGATGTGCGGTACGATAGAGAGAACTTGGCCGGGGCGTGCGTGGAAAAACAAATATCAGGAGCTCAGAGAGAACAAACTGCAAAATTCCAAGCTCTCTTCTATCTGCAGATTCCCCTTCTCCTGAAATTACTTCTTGCCACAATGATATAGGGTTCACACTGCTCACTGGGATACACAATCCATCTTTCAGAAGCCCATAGTCACAGGAAAAAGGGGAGAGGAGGAAAAACAATTCCCAAGTACATTTCACCGTTGGTTTTGATCCCCAGCCAAGGCCTTCCACCTGCAGAGATCTCCTAACTATCACATTCCTACTGCTCTGGCCGATAACGAAGATAATTGTTTCATCCACTTTGTCAAAGCTGAAATGAAAAGAGGGCAAAGCAAAATGATGCCGTCGTAAATCACAGGGCTGAGACAGGAAAAGAGGGACAAGATAGCGACTTCATTAAGGGTTATGTATTGTGCCATTAAGTTGGCGGGGGGTCACCTTTCATGTCACACTGGCCTCTGTGATGCATTGCCAGCTCTTCTTTCCAATAAAATTAAACGGAGATGTAAAACTGATTAGGGCCATGTTTGCTTCAGCCCGTGGCAAAGGGAATGGTACAGGGAATAATTGATATAAGATTGCAACTGATGCATAATGGCAGCAATTTCTCTTCCTGGTCATTTCATTGCTGACCTTGCCCATTAAAATAAGCCCAGCTGCCTCAGAGAAAGAGACACTTCATTTCCCATCACCCGACAATCCTACGGCAGCCCCCCGTCCCCCTGACCACTGGCCCTCACCAAAACAACAGAACTAGAAATACTGCGAGCTGGAGTTTGGGGGGAGTAGCTGGTTCTCATGGTTGTGCATCGTGGAGCCTCAATGCCAATGTTAGCATTGGTCTGAACTCCTTGACTTCCCAATGGGCGACAGACGATTCTCCATCAGCTTTTAGACACTGCCATGCTGAAAAACAGATTATTGGCCTGCTTGGTCTGAGCCTCGGACTAACAACACCGGGAACTCCTCTGTGTGTTCTCGGTCATTGCTGAGATATGGAAGCTGCTGTAGACCTAAGAGGGACTGACTTTATCCTCACAATCCCAAATTCTGCCTTAACAATGTTTTATGAACTCAACAATGTAGACAACCTCCGTGGGACCCATTGTTCAGTCAACAAACAATTACAGGGGTCCATTAGGCACCAAGCACTGTGCTATAACGTTGAGAATAGGGTGGTGAGCCAGGCAGCCATGCCTCTGCCTTCACTGCTCTCACAGTCAGCTGGTACTTTCCAATGGACTAATAGCCATAGTTCCCATTGGGTTGAACGTTTACTATGAGCCAAGCGTGTTCTGTGTAATTTACATCTATTAACCCACTTAATCTTTGTAACAACAAGAGAATGGTTTTTACTTGATCTCTGTTTTACAGATGAGGAAACGAAGGAAGACAGAAACTATGTCCTTTGCCCTGAGGCACATGAGGCCTAAGTACTGGAAGTGGGATTTCAGATGCTATGAGCTGAAGTCAGGAACAAAGCCTGAAGGAAAATATCTTCTATTTTCTGTTTTTTCTCTGTCCTCTCCCACCCCTATCAAGTCTCTGAGGTATTTTATTCAGCCTTTGAGAAGAAAACATATGTCTTTATCAAACGGAACTCCATGCGAGGTTTCTGTTATCCTATAGATTAGGGAATTTCCAATGGGAAAATGCCATTTCTATCCCAGGTATAAGCATTTTATATCATGTGATCTAGGCTCTTATAGAGTTTTCTTCCTCTTTATTTCGCTTGATGTCTGAGGTTGGGATGTTATGGTATGTATGGGAAAATGGGCAATACTTATCTACCCAGCACTCAAGCTCTATATCCGAATCTACTGTTGGCATCAAGAGGATGTAAAGTAGTAGAGAAAAAAATACTGGCAAACGGGGCATCCAACAACTTTGGCCATGGCTGTGATCTTCCCAGCGTTACTGGCTCTGCCTCCTTGTTCTCAGCCTTGCAGAAGGAGAGGGGACAGCAGGAGTCTATGATCCTCTTGCCATCGTCTTGAGAAATCCCGGCAGTGAAATGCACATGTCAGTATGACTTCATTTTCGTATTCACTATACATGTGTGACCTCATTGTCCCAGTGACCTCCCCAACCAGGGAAGGAAGACCTATTTTTCCCAGACTCACTTACCAGACTTTTGCAACCTTGATCTGTCTGTTTATCTGTCTGTCTGTCTGTCTGTCTTACACCACTTCCTCAACTCTGATGGAGTCCAGGGATTACAGCAACGCTGAGTGGGAAGACTGAAAATGACAAACAACAGACCCTCTGCCAAAAAAAAAAAAAAAAAGAGAAAAAGTGATTAGACCAGAAATTGCCTAAGTTAAACCAGACTAGTTCCACCTACCACATCTAACCATGACCCTGCCCCTCAGGAAGGAGGCAAAGGCTTTGTAGAAAGGAAGACGGGGACTGTGCACATTTCCCTCTTGATGACTCACACACTGTGGAACGAGAGACCCCAGCCACCCACCCACAGACAACAGATGAAAAACACACGCTAAGCAAGTAGAGGCCTCCTCCTCCTCAACCTCTCCTGCCCACCACCTCTGTCTCCTGTGCCGGATCCCAGGTCCCTGTGCCGGGTAGCCCAATGGTCAACTTTGTCAACGTAGGAGTGAGGAAAGCAAGACATGGCGGCTGCAGCGATGGGATGCCACTGGATGTGAACTTCCCCGTGGCTCTGGGTTATTCCACACCCAGAGACAAGGAGGGGAACACCTCTTCTTCACCCCAACCACTTTAGTAAATAATTTTTCATTTACATGGCATGTCAAGGCTTACACAACACTGCCGTCATTAATGAGGGATAATCCCTAAGACACTTTCATGAGGTGAGTGTTGTGATCCCCCCACTTTTCAAACAAGAAACCCCAGGCTCAGGAGGTCCTGAGGCCATGCGGCACTGAGGTCACAGAGCTGCCCTGCAGGGCTGGATGATTTGCCTCCAGATGAAGAGAATTCCCATGACTCCACGGGAGAAAAAGCAAATTTGCCAAAACACAGTTTGCGTGGTAGCTATCATGTCACATCCGTCTCCCTGACCTGGTAAATGGCCAAGGAGACAGGTAGGAGACTCGGCCTCCCACCCCCACCCCACACCCACCTTTAATGTTCTCGGGAAGCTGGGGCATGGCTCTCTTACCTTCTTCATGGGCTGGCAGGACCCACCTGAGGCACACCGATGGTAATGCCCACAGCCGGAAGCTGCTGAGGGCTACTGGCTTACATTGCTCCTTTAGAAGAAGTAAGATGAGTGGGAGACACCGATTGTTAAGATCTTCATTAAGGAAATGGTAATTTTCCTTACCTTGAAGTGGGTCCTGCACAGAGCAGACCGGGATTGGGCTCACTGCCTCACCTTTCATGGAATGGTGGTGTCAAAGGATAGTGGCTTGGCCAGTCCAGTTGATACTTGTGTGAACAAAGGGTGGTCTCGTGACCAAAAAAAAAAAAAAAAAAGTTCAAGGAAGAAAATGCCTAAAATTGGAGAATTCATCTGAACAAAACAGATGGGAGCCTCATGACAAGCAATGTCTTAAAGGAAAACAGACTTCTATTATTCAGTCAACAAACACAAGCTTTAGCTCCTAGCAGTGTACTAAGGCTGGAGGGAATGGAAAGATGAACGAGATGCTCCTCTTGCCCTGACAGAGTCCTACTCAGTGTCCCTCGATACCTTCCAGGAGAGAGTTACTGGACCTCTGTCTTGAGCAGACGCCTACCCCATGCCTCCTTGTGAAAGCTGGAGCCGGAAAGAGTGCAGAGAAACAAACCAGATTCTTCACAAGGCCCTTCTCACCAATATTCCCTGAGCCAACATGGCGCCCAACCCCTGCAAACCACCTGAGAGTGCCTTCTCCTGGGGCCTTATTTAATTTGCCTACAATGATGGTGATCCATCAGACCAGACTACTGTGCCAGAATTCAGGCACTGCATTAGCCAGCTGTGTGCTGTCCACAGGCCACCTCCCCTCCCAGCCCTCAGTTTCTCCTCAGGGCCAGACCTCCATCAAGTGTTTCTGGTTATGTTCCCTGTTGCCCTAAGATTCTATTGAGGCCTAACAACATCCACCATGGCTTGTGAGGAGGCTGAGGGGTGGGCTCCAAACCTCCCACTCAGTCCGAACAGACAGCCCTACTTACCTCTGTTCATCACACTGGGTAAGCTGCAGCTTGCATTTGGAGAAAGGGATTTTTTTGGTAAAACTGAAACAACTTTTGAAAACCACTGAGGAGATTATCTGAGGTACTTTCCAGAACCTGTATCTTGTGACACAATCATTTTCTGTGATTAAAGGTCGACTCATCTAGGATTCATTCTAACGGCCAATAAGAGCTCTCCAAACTTCCCTTTTACGTCCTTCCTGGGAGTGTCCTTCAGGGAGAACAACAGAGTCAAGCCTTTCAGTCTCCTGACCATATAATTAATGACTATTTACCCATTTGGCAAATATTTACTAAACAACTACTATGTGCCGAGCCTTGCGCCAGCTAATGAGTTAGCTCCCTCCCTGGCATCAGGTGGTGTGGAAACTCCCCACAGTCTGGGCTTCGGGTCAGACTGACCTGGGCACCAGCTCTGGCTCATTATCGGTGTAACCGCAGGAAGTGGCTCAACTCTTTCCGAGCTGTAGTGTCTATAAAAATAATGTTGTGACATTATTGCTAAAAGTACAGCGTAGTCTGTGTGAAAACATCTAACACATAGCAAGTGCTCACAGAATGTCCATGATTAGTACCATGTCCATGGAGTTGAACGGCTCATTCTCTCACCAGAACTCCTCAGTGCTCCATAAACTGGCCGCTCTGATGCCAAAGGTAGCCTTCCACTCCATCCTTTTCCTTCCACCAGAGGGATCTTGCTCCATCCCCTGAATTCCTATTCATGCTTTAAGGCAAAATTCAAATGCCATCTTCCCCGTGAAGACTTTCTTAATTCTCAGAAGCAGAAGGAAATTTCCATATCCCCAGTGCGTACTTCCATTTTCCCAAGGCAGCACTTAATGCCTTGTATTCATTCATCATTCAACAAATATTTGTCCAGTGACTACCAGGTGCCAACCCTGTCCCAGGTTCTGTGTTGTGTGTCCTTCTCTACACCCAGAGAATTTGGGGGATCAGGATCCTTAAATCATTCAGTGCCCCAAGGGGCTTATCCAAGGTGCTTCATATGAGGTTTCTCTAAGAATGTGTAACAGGTGACTCTGTAGCTCTGCTTAAATCTCTAGATGGACAAGAGTGGAGGTCCAAGAGGCTTCCTCAGACTGTGTGCCGAGAATCCACAAAGACAGGCTGACAGAATCTTGGGTGGACTCTCCCAATCTGTCTGCTGCCTCATCCCAGTCCTCAGCTCCATGCTCTCTCTCTACTACATGTATCTGCTGTTAGAAACCAAGGCCAGGGGCGCCTGGGTGGCTTAGTCGGTTAAGCGTCCGACTTTCGCTCAGGTCATGATCTTGCAGTTCGTGGGTTCGGGCCCCGCGTCGGGCTCTGTGCTGACTGCCAGCTCAGAGCCTGGAGCCTGTTTCAGTCTGTGACTCCCTCTCCCTCTCTGACCCTCCCCTGCTCACACTGTCTCTCTCTCCTAGAAATAAATAAAACATTAAAAAAAAAAAAAAAGAAAGAAACCAAGGCCAAAAAAAAGAAAAAAAGGGAAAGCATAGAAGAGAAAAGAAGACATAAAGAAGACATGGTTGTATTGTAAAAGCTAATAAAATGCTTAAAGTTGGAAATTCAACAAACTGCTAGAGGCCTATGGAGACTTAGAGAACCCTGGGAAAATGTCACGTACACACACACACACACCTGGGCCCTGCGACCACTTCAGCCGCTCGGATCAGGCCCATGGAGAAGCCCCCAGGAATGGCTGTGGCTCCAGACTTTTTCCAAGAGGGTATCAGCAAGGATTTATGTTTCTGCTCAGGCCCCTCTCACCTTGTAGCATCTGGAAAAGACGTCCTAGAAGCCAGCCCGGGGCCCCAAGGGAATAGCAGCAAAAGTGGAGAAGGAACAAAGAAGAGCTCGCTGATGGGCAACTGGCCTCCTCCCAGGAGGGCTTCCTCCTCTCATGCTCCTCTGCCATTTAAGGCAGAGCCAAGGAACAGAAGAAAAGGGAAGGAATTAAGTGGCTGTAGCGTTAAAGTCACAGAATCACATCATCAGCTTGTAGCATTGTCCAGAGCTGGTAGGTACAGGCGGAGACATAGGTATAGCATCTGGCAGGATCACGAGGCTGGTGCAGGTCCCAGGTCAAAGGTCAGCTCTTTCAGAGGGCCGTGGTCCCCGGGGAAGTGGTGTGCACACCCGTTGCCGCTGGACGTGGGTGTCCACAGCCCTGTATGCCCATGCAGTCAGAAGGTATTCTTCCAGGTTTGCTGGTTTCCAGGGTCCTTCGAAGCTGAATGACAGCTGGTGGTGAGTTAGGGAGAGCCAAAAAGGGGAAGAGGAATGAACCAAATGTTTGCAAGATGGCTTGAAGCTGAGCAAACACAGAACCCCCAGAGCAGCTCACCTTTGCCCAAGAAAGATGTCTCAGAAGAGCAGCCATCGAGGGAGACATTGGAGAGCCATCTGAGTGCGCAGAGGAGTGGGCGCAAAGAGCTCTGTACCCGTACCTTCTAAGGGTAAGCGCTGCTCGGCAGAAGACTCTTGCCAAATCCTTCGAGTCAAGGATGACATCTGTACTTCTCACCCAGCACAACGCCCAGTGCAGAGCTAGTGCTACGCAGGGACTTGAATGAATGCATGCATGAATGAATGAATGAATGAGTGGGTGGATGCATGAGATCAGAATGAAAGATGTTCTGGTAAAAAGTATGAGGGCAGGAGTACTTGGGTGGCTCAGTTGGTTAAGCGTCCGACTTCGGCTCAGGTCATGATCTCCAGGTTCATGGGTTTGAGCCCTGTGACGGGCTCTGTGCTGATAGTTCAGGGCCTGGAGCCTGCTTTGGATTCTCTGTCTCCTTCTTTCTCTGCTCTCGCCTTGCTCACACTGTCTCTCTCTCTCTCTCGAAAATAAATAAATATTATGGAAATCAACTTGACAATAAACTATTTGTAAAATAAATAAATAAATAAATAATAAATAAATGGAATTAGGCTCATAAAAAATTTTTAAAAATAAACAAAATTTTAACAAATAAATATTTAAAAAATGTAAATAAAGAAAAAGGATGACAGCTGAATAGGGAGTGGAGAAAAGAGGAGGTAGAAGGGGCCAGAGGAGCTGGGTTGGCTGAGCTGAAATGGCACATGACAGTCACTTACTGATTAGCAAGATCCTGGGGGACTTGCAAGACCTAACACAGGCCTGTCTTCAGGGAGCGTCAGACCCGCAGCAGAGGCACAACATGCATACAAATCATGGCGAACAAAAACAGTGGTCACAGCACAGATAAAACACTAGCAAGGGGACCTCAGTAAAGAAACAGCTGGGGACAGAATGTAGGCGTCAGCAGGAAATCTCCCCCAGTTGTGAGGGCTAAGGAGATGCAAAGAAGCCCAGCCGCCCCAGTGGCCCCGGAGAGAAGCCTTCTCCCCCTCAAGCTGCAGGAGGGGTGCTGCAACCCGGGCTTCCCCCCTTCCCCACCCCCCTTCGTCTGTCCGCCTCTCCCTGGGCTCCCTTCACCCACCTGCTCACCCTGCCAACTCAGAGAGAGCGGGGCAGGGATAGCAGAGGGATTTTTCTTAATGTCTTTCTATAGATGAGTTAATGTAAAGGCTTTCCAACACAAGCATGTTTTTCTGTTCCTTCTCTCTGACCTTGGCATTTTCTTTCTCCATTCCAGGCTCGGCGCTGTCCTGTGGCCAGGTTTGCCTCTCATTTGTCAATGTTATTATTGAATTTTCAAATGCCAGTAGTACACATAAATCAATGGCTTTCTTCTCCCTACTGGCATCTCCCTGCCACATGTGGTCATTCATTTTTTTAATAAGTCCTCCTCTCCTTTCACCCATTTATAAAAATGCATCTTGTTCCCCCACCACCGTCCATCACTCGGGGAGCCTGGCTATTTGTTGCCCCTGAGTGCTTATTCATCAACGTTTTCAAAAGCAAAATCACTCTTCGCCTCCTGCCCTTATTGTGCCATCAATCTTGACCAGGGGATCAATAAACTTCGCTTTTGCAATTTCCCTCCCCCCCGCCCCTTCCTGAGCTGACTCTCTCCAAAGTGCAGTCTTTTTATTTACATTTTTAACTGATCATCAGCAGAGGGGGGACGGTGGTGTCAGGGAGGCGAAGGGCTTTCATTTGCTCCCGAGGCAGCAATAACCATCCATGCATCGGTCATTTAACACGGTAACCCAGCGAAATTGATACTCGACTCTTCCCTGCCCGGGGTCCACCCACGTAAATCATAACCTGGGGAAACAAAAGCCTTGCCTGAGCCGTGTATCTTGCAGCCAGGCAAGCAGGGGACTAGGTGGAGGGAGTCACCGCCCAAGCCTCACTGGAGGAGAGGCACACTGGTTTCCAGGAATTTCTTAGCCTATTTTATACGTGTCAATGGACAATTAAAAGGGAAGGATCTAAAGGGGTAAGGAA